TAATGTCTTTCAATTAATAACTCGGTCACATATTACGAGTTAAACAACTTACATTGCATCCGTCATACTCTGCATCATTCTTTCATGGTAGTCAAGACCTACCAAAATAACAAGAAAAAATATTACAACCACAATAAAAGAATATTACATATTATCTTAAACTGGTAGCAAATGTTGCCTTGACTTAAAAAGTTGTGTATTATACTAAAAAAAAAGTTCATAACATTTTTTTTATTAACTTGTCTATATCATCGTAGATGTAGGTTATAATTATATGAGAGGAAAATGACCGTTCTTGGTTGTTGTTGTTGTTGTCATTGGCAATGTCATAAAACATTTTTCTTGTGGTTACAATAATTCAAACAGGTTTTATCCAATTTCTTCCAGGCTTGGATATTGTATTACCCAGTGTGATTCAGTAATGGCCAAGTTTGATTTTTGATTTTGGTTTATGCTTTACAAGATATTTGTTAAAATTCACTTAAAATGTTCTTCTTTTTGTGGTTACTTTTAAAATTGTTTATCTTTAAGAATTTTATTAATCACTATGAAAAGTCAACTAAGTTCAATTTTGGTCAGCCTTTCAATCTGTTTTGAAATCTAAATTAGAATACACATTTGCCTTCAATAACGTTTCAGTGGCTGTCACTGTCGTATTTTGTGTCTTGCCGATATTATTTTGGTACAAATTCATGTAGCTATCGCCGAGAAAACTTTTCAACTAAGATACATGTCGCCATATAGAGTATTTCCGACAATTCTTATACAACTTAAAAACATTAGTAGGGGGGAATTCACTCGCATTAAATTGTGTTCGCCATGCTAGGCAATCAAAAAATGTATTTGCACTAAAGTACGTTCAAGATCTGTTCTTTCTTATAGCCACAGTCTAGGTTTTACTAAAATTAAAATATGATTGGGTCACAGTCACCGTAGCTATCGCTGCAATAAGTAGTCTCTCACCTTTTGGTTATAATTGTCGTTTAAATAATTCACGTCCCAAATTTTGGTTCCCTGGCGCCTCTAATAAATGAGCTATATTACCACTGGGTTAGAGTAGCGGGACTATTATTTGCATACTTGTTTTCATCTTCTAATTGTGACCAAATGACTACAAATAGACCCAGGAAAGTATATATTTTTGGAATCGCCAGACTTCAAGCTTGTCAACGGTGTGTTTGCCATGCCCTTATCTGCATTCTACGGTGCGTTACTTAATGAATAGTGAAAAATTACTTTTTTTGTAAAAAAAATAAATACGCATTTATGCTGGTGATAAGAAGTTTTGTTTTCACTTTTCCTAGTTGTTCAATAGTCTGGTAAATTGAATGTGTCTGGTTAGTTTTATTCAAGCAACGCGTTTTGAAAAGTAATGTCCTGAATTTTAATTTCTGTTTTAGTCGCATTGCCCCCAACTCAAACCACAACACGTTGGTAAATAATCTATGAAATAATTTGTATGGACACATTCAAGTTCCTCTCATTGTCACCTTAAAGCTGTGAAAATTTGGTGTTAATCCGACGACAATAAGTATACGTTATTTTTTGTTAAAGACCATAGACCCTCTATGTTAAAGACCTTGTATTTTGAAAAACATAAACTCCTAGAAAAGGTTGACGAAGTCACAGCAAAGATTTTCAAGCTTGTTTATCTGCACAAGTGATTTGTTTTCCCATCAAGATCTGTTTTAACTTGTGTAGGGACATCCAAACGTGTAAGGCTATTGGAAACCAAAAAATAAAAGGAATGGGATAGCTATAGTTTGATAAAAACGCCAGATGAAAATACCAAAATCAATGATTTTTTTCAGTGACTGTGTGACCTTGTGTCTGACACATTCATATGCAAATGACTAATCTGTGAAATAAACAGGGGCTGAGACAAACCACTCAAATGTTTGGAAACACTCATTGTGTGTCAGATAGCTACTGATAGCACATCCTTACATTGCTTTGTCTTTAGTTAATCTTTGAAACTTATAGGCATACAGATTAAACCC